TATGTGTGTGTGTGTGTGTGTGTGTGTGTGTGTGTGTGTGTGTGTGTGTGTGTGTGTGTATTTGATAAAGGAAAATTAAAAAAATTAAAAATGTATTTAAAATATAATTAATCAAATATTAATTATAATCAGAGTAATAATTTGTAATATCTTATATAATAAGAAGTTTAATTTCTAATAAAATTTAACATAAAATCTTCGAAGAATGTAAAAGACTTTAAAAATGATTATTTTTTAGCGTATTGGTTTATTCATAATTTAGTAATTGGGATAAGGACCCTATGGTTCGTCATTTCCATAGTATTTTGTGACTCCAAACCCTCCCTTATATGTGTGTGTGTGTTATGTTTGTTTTACTCTTAGTTTTTGCATCATTTAATTGCTATTATGACATATTAATTTTTTTGCTTCCTCTGATAATTGTAGCGATTCTTTTTCTTTCTTGATTCTTAAATAACTAATATGTGGATCTGAAGAAACAAGCAGATAATGCATCACATCTTCATTGCATTTCTGGCGAGAACACATTCGAGCGTTGTTAGCTCGAGCTTGTTTGAAGATTTTATTATTAGCTTCCTGAGCTTCTTCAGAAAGACATCCTATTGGTAACCCAAATGAGTCAATAATACGCCAACCATGAATTAATATTTTATGCACAGATGGAGGCATAGGATACCAATTATATAGTTTAACGTAAAGCTCGGCTGTTTGATACGCATACTTTTTAAATTTTTCTATATCGACTTTATATCCACAATTCAAAACTTGCAAAATAATACCATATCTTTCAATTAAATTTTTATCAATTTGAGTTACTTTTGAAATTATTTCTGGAGATGCAAAAAATCTTCTAGATGTGTTACCATCATTGGTAGTTCCATATCCACGTTTGATGACATCTATGTTTAATCCAAGAGAAGATTTTATAGATTGTTGGAGTAATAATTTTTTAGTCTGCTTCACCTCTTTGTTGATCCCTTTTGCTTGATGTTCTTTAAAGTCCAAGTTGCAAGCAACATGCCAAATATGTTCCAAAAATCTGATTCGACAGTGAAGAGGATGTAAACCTAAATGAAAATATTCATCCTTAGTAGGAAGACTGTTTACATAATCTAAATTATTAATTTTACTCGGCTTAGCGAGACATATATTACAGCAGTTAGAAGATAATTGATTCGTTAAAACATTACAAACCTTACCATCTATCATTGTACACTTCATATTATAGATGACTTCAAAATTTATTTCAAAAATATTCACAGTAAATGGCTTTAGCTGCTCTATAACATTTTTGTAATGATTATATTCATCTAAAGTATTTTTCGAGGTTTCCTTCGTAAATTCATATTTAACAGGTCTGCAATATCTGATGGATGATGGTCTTTCATTCTTCCACAGAATTTTGTCTTTAGTTCCTAGTTGAAGTGGCACAATAGACACCTGGAATACAGATTCCTCTGATAGATCAACATCCGCTGAATCTAACGACCCATTATTTTGCCACTTTTGTTTTATAGTTTGCTGACCACTTGCCCCGTCCATACCCCATTTGACATAAAAAGTCAAGCTTTCACCATGTTAGTGTCCTCAATGCAGGACCGGTGCTTGGCACGTATTAATAGAATGAATTACTTGTGTATTAATATTGAAGATTGTTTATTCTGTATAGAACACGCTGTACAAAATTGTCCGTGCACGTAATAATAGGAACTCTCTCGAAACTATAACTAGCGCCAACTATCTGGCGTTCACAAAAATAATTCTACTGAAGTCAAGTTGCATACGTAAAACTATGCTAATAAATGAAATTAAATACAGAGCTATAAAATACACTAAATATCGTTAAATACTTATTGCACGAACATACCGCGCGCCTTGATATCTTATGGATATCAATATTGCAAACTCAGTTAAGGTGTTACAAAGTCTATTATGTATCACAACAATTAATCAAATTTTCTTTAATACTCGCGGATGAACTCAACGGGAAGTATGCTTAATTTTACCGCCGGTCTTTTAAAACTCCCTTTAGCCGTTTTGATGATAGCTGTTCTGACGATGTGATCGTCGCCGGGACAGACTTCCTGTACTCTGCCCAAAGTCCAGTTCAAGGGCGGCAATCCCTCCTCTCTACCA